GATTCAGTGAGATGGGTGGCTAGTGAGTTAGACAGTGGGCTATTGGGTTGGACAGAAAAAAAAGTGCTATAATTTTTTTTTTTTTTTTTTTGCTAGTAGAATTTAGCTTGGGCAGGGGTGGGCTCCGCCCATGTGTGTAACAATACTAAAAAATAAGTGAATGTCATGTCTCGTATAAGACAAGTATATTAGCTTACCAACGGTCTCTAATGACGCTCCTTGTCAAGTTTTTTCTCTTCTTCATCTACACCAAGTCTGTGATTAACTTCAATCGGAATATCACAAAGTTTAAGCATGCCTACCTCTTTCATTAAATCAATAGTATACTTTTCATGTAATATAATAACACCTTTTTAACTGATTTTGCTACTTCTATACAAAGAAAATACTTCAAAGGTCCAAGGTAATTAATTTAATTCACATTGTATGATTAGCTTGGTTTTGAGTATAATTAAAACATCTAACAAAAATAAAGAACCGATTAAACCAAGCTTTGTTTAAGCCCATATTAGGATTTATCTAGTTTGCGAACCTTCTCTTTTCCATAAGAATCTTCAAAAACCCGGAGGTAATTGCGTATAAATGCATTTAGTTCCGAGCATGGAATTTGCATAATAAGAAAATAAATTCGGGGCAATTGAATTGCCTAGAACTTATTCGTATGGAAATTATTAATTAAATGTGTGATTCATTTAGTTTTTAACCTCGAAAAATATTATATTTCCCCATTTTTTATTGGTGGTTAGATAAGAGAGATGGGATGGATGAGAAAGAGAAACGGAGAATAAATTATCTGGCAAATAAAAATCATCATGCAAAAAATTGTCAATCATACATCCCAAAAATCGGAATTTGAGTGGAAAAATGACATTTTCCATTAAAAAAAAAGTCAATCAAACACACTCTTAGTAATATTATTCATCACCATTGGTGCTTAAGACCAATTTATATGGCAATTACATATCATTAAATGATAGATTCATTTAAATTCAAAGTCACGTGATTCATTTAATTGAAAATATAAAATGTAGTCATTTAGATTGATGCTTTAACACCACTGGTACTAGATATTATTATTTTAAAACTATACGTATAATTGATAATTGAGGAATGCATTTTTAGTGTCAAGTTGATGAAGTGTCTAACCGTGATTTGCTTGAAATCAAAGCCCAATTGAATTTAACTTTGCCACTGGTGCAAAGTTTCTCTGATAGTCTACCCCATATAACCCTCGACTAGAAGTCTTTCTTATACTTGTTTATTGAACCACCATCTTTGTACTTCAGTATAAATATTCATTTACACCCAACTGGAGTTTTTTCTTGAGGTAAATGCACTAAACGACATGTACAATATTATTCAAGTGCCCTTATTTTATTTTTTTTTTAATCCAAAATTACAGCCTTCTACTCTAGAATCATTAGAGCTTCCTGCACAGTTCTAGGAATTTCTACACTCGAAAGATTAGAGGCAAAAGCTTTATGGGATGAAGATAAACAATGATAAGACACAAATTTAGATATCAATGTATAAAAAAGGGCAATCGAGTCAGGTCTCTAGTGACTTGCACCAAGCATGGCAGACTAGTCATATTCTTCAATTTATCGAACCGTAATTTGAAGTTGTTCAATCGAAATCTTATTGCGCAAATTAGGTTTTATTGAACTATGCACTAGTCAAATATTATCAATATCTAATTCCGATAATACACCGCCAAACGCCATAACTAATTACTTAAAATTGATAATCCTTTCATGTTTCTTGACAAAAGAGCTTTAATTTTGAATTCATCTCTTCATCAAGAACATCGTTCAACAACCTAATGAATAGTAATGAGCATGTTTGCGAGTGCTTAAAAGCTCATTAAATGGGATCTTTTTCGTTGCATCACACTTTAAACTAACTAATATACTCTTACACAAAAAATAAATTATCTTTACTTCTCCTCATTTTTACACGTGGAACACACGCAATTACTGACTCTGCAAGGGAGATACACTCGATGGAAACCAAATGATTATATAATTTTTTTAGATGTCATCGCAATTAAATAGATACGCATTACAAAGGGGGTCATTATATTCGTAACACAGTAATTGTTTGCTACATCACATTTTAATTGTAATGAAAATCAATTTTTCAGATGTCATCGCAATTAAATAGATACGCATTACAAAGGGGGTCATTATATTCGTAACACAGTAATTGTTTGCTACATCACATTTTAATTGTAATGAAAATCAATTTTTCAGATGTCATCGCAATTAAATAGATACGCATTACAAAGGGGGTAATTATATTCGTAACACAGTAATTGTTTGCTACATCACATTTTAATTGTAATGAAAATCAATTTTTACTTATTATCGCATCACACTTTAAACTGACCAATATACTTTGACACAAAAAATAAATTATCTTTACTTCTCCTCTTTTTTACACATGGCACGCACGCAATTACTGACTCTGCAAGGGCGATACACTCGATGGAAACCAAATGATTATATAATTTTTTTAGATGTCATCGCAATTAAATAGATAAGCATTACAAAAGGGGTCATTATATTCGTAACACAGTAATTGTTTGCTACATCACATTTTAATTGTAATGAAAATCAATTTTTCAGATGTCATCGCAATTAAATAGATACGCATTACAAAGGGGGTAATTATATTCGTAACACAGTAATTGTTTGCTACATCACATTTTAATTGTAATGAAAATCAATTTTTACTTATTATCGCATCACACTTTAAACTGACCAATATACTTTGACACAAAAAATAAATTATCTTTACTTCTCCTCTTTTTTACACATGGCACGCACGCAATTACTGACTCTGCAAGGGCGATACACTCGATGGAAACCAAATGATTATATAATTTTTTTAGATGTCATCGCAATTAAATAGATAAGCATTACAAAATGGGTCATTATATTCGTAACACAGTAATTGTTTGCTACATCACATTTTAATTGTAATGAAAATCAATTTTTCAGATGTCATCGCAATTAAATAGATAAGCATTACAAAAGGGGTAATTATATTCGTAACACAGTAATTGTTTGCTACATCACATTTTAATTGTAATGAAAATCAATTTTTTGGATGTAATCGCAATTAAATAGATAAGCATTACAAAATGGGTAATTATATTCGTAACACAGTAATTGTTTGCTACATCACATTTTAATTGTAATGAAAATCAATTTTTACTTATTATCGCATCACACTTTAAACTGACCAATATATTTTGACACAAAAAATAAATTATCTTTACTTCTCTCCTCTTTTTTACACATGGCACGCACGCGATTACTGACTCTGCAAGGGCGATACACTCGATGGAAACCAAATGACTATATAATTTTTTTAGATGTCATCGCAATTAAATAGATAAGGATTACAAAAGGGGTATATATTCGTAACACAGTAATTGTTTGCTACATCACATTTTAATTGTAATGAAAATCAATTTTTAACTTTTTATCTCATCACACTTTAAACTGACCAATATACTATGACACAAAAAATAAATTATCTTTACTTCTCTTTTTGACACATGGCACGCACGCAACTACTGATTCTGCAAGGGCGATACATTCGATGGAAACCAAATGATTATATAATTTTTTTAGATGTCATCGCAATTAAATAGATAAATATTATAAAAGGGGGTAATTATATTCGCAACAAAGTAATTGTTTGCTACATCACATTTTAATTGTAAAGAAAATCAAATTTTAACTTATTATGACATCACACTTTAAACTGACCAATATACTTTGACACAAAAAAAATAAAATATATGTATATATCTTTACTTCTCTTTTTTACACATGGCATGCATGCAATTAAATAGATAAGGGCGATACACTTGATTATATAATTTTTTTAGATGTCATCGCAATTAAATAGATAAGGATTACAAAAGGGGTATATATTCGTAACACAGTAATTGTTTGCTACATCACATTTTAATTGTAATGAAAATCAATTTTTAACTTTTTATCTCATCACACTTTAAACTGACCAATATACTATGACACAAAAAATAAATTATCTTTACTTCTCTTTTTGACACATGGCACGCACGCAACTACTGATTCTGCAAGGGCGATACATTCGATGGAAACCAAATGATTATATAATTTTTTTAGATGTCATCGCAATTGAATAGATAAATATTAAAAAGGGGGTAATTATATTCGCAACAAAGTAATTGTTTGCTACATCACATTTTAATTGTAAAGAAAATCAAATTTTAACTTATTATGACATCACACTTTAAACTGACCAATATACTTTGACACAAAAAAAATAAAATATATGTATATATCTTTACTTCTCTTTTTTACACATGGCATGCATGCAATTAAATAGATAAGGGCGATACACTTCATTATATAATTTTTTTAGATGTCATCGCAATTAAATAGATAAGGATTACAAAATAGGTAATTATATTCGCAATACAATAATTGTTTGCTACATCACATGTTAATTGTAATGAAAATCAATTTTTACTTATTATCGCACTTATATTCTCAATTTTTTACTTATAGTATTCTTATTTGAATCTTAAACTAATTAGCACGTAATGCCTCTAATCGTAGTTTCTTGTCTAATTATTATGTAAACATAATTTCAAATGAGGGTAAATAAGTCTTTTTATACTTTCGTAATGAATTTTTTGGATGGAACCATCATTCATGATAAAATGTGTTAATTAGTGGAATGTTGACGATAAAATTATGACGAAAGAAAAGTTGGAAGCAAAATTGAGAAAATGAAAATGTTAATTACAATAAAACAAAAATTGTGGTCTATATGTAATTAACCTTAAAGTTACAATGTTCATAATTTACCAAACTTAAAAGATTTTCCCTCTTATTTCCATCGGTGTATTCATTTCAAATACACACTCCCTACCCCAAGAAAATCCGTACTCTCCATCTCTCTCTCAACCTTAATGCAAAAGTAAATTTTCATTCAAAATGGCCGAATCAAGAAAACCCTCAGAACTTTCTCTCTCTATTCTAAATGGAAGAAATGGTAGTGATGAATTGGGTGCCAAAAATGCAATCAATATAGATGAAAGTCTACTGATCGATGTAAACGAGCTTGCTATTGGTCCAATGATTAGTGAAGGAGCCCATTCCATTGTCTATGAAGGATTGTGAGTGTCTATTTCGCTACAAATTCACACACTTTCCATTTTATTAGTTTTCTAGATTTTGCTTTGTAGAATTTCTTCTTTTGTTCTTGAATCGACATGCATGTTGATATTTCTTTGTTTTGGGTGTTCACTTTTGAGAAAGTTGCGTGCTTGTTTTCCATTTCTCTTTTGGGACAGGGGGGTATGTGCGCTGGTGAAATTTAGTACAGAAATTTAATTATGTTTGGAGATTCTAATGGCAATCTATGTTCTGTTTTTTTTTTCCAAGCGAATTTTTGTTTATATTATAGGATACGTTCCTTGATTTTTATTGATTATATCCTTGCCATTGTATTATGTTTTCATTTCATTTGTTTTACTAAAAAGCAATTCAAGGGCTGCCTCAATTGTCATGCACAAGAAACTCTTTCAATATCTCTGTATGAGAATCTACTTTAGGTTGTCTTCTCGGTTGCAGAATCCAGGCTGATGAACATAAAAATTGAGCATTGTATTAATTTACTATACAATTTTATGTTCCAATTTCTAATTTCCATTCAGTGAATTAGTTTTGGACTGAGAAACCAAGAAGAGCAGTTTAAGTTATATGCATTGCAATGCAGAAGTGATGATGAAAGAAGAAACGCATAAATCGTGATTAAAAAAAAAACTTTTGACGGCATAGAAGACGTAGAAAAGTCTGTAACGTACACGTAGGTTGATAACTTTTGGACTATCATGTGACTCGAATTAGATAGTCGTCATATGGAAGACACTAGTGCTAAATGACGACATTTTCATTCGTCTGCTATTTTGTTATTAATTTCCGCGATTAATTAGAAGATTTCTCGTCAGCGAATTAAAAGATTTTTGATCTTTTAGCACAGTATCTGTATCGGGTTATAGGAACTAGGAAGAAAGATTTATGTAACCGAAAACAAATATTGAGCACTGACTAGCATGGTAAAAGGAAAATAACAATGATATAGTGGAGAAAAAATACAAAAATAACGTGCTTCCTGCCTGTGCTGCATTTTTTTACCTTTGTGTTGCATGTCACAGTGTAAGTTCTTATGCTCAACTGCCACCAAGAAGTCCATGGCGACATCTGTTTCTATTAATAATGTGTTATTGTTTCTATTAAAATCGACAACGTCCCACAAAATAAGTGTTGAAATAAGTAATGGTAGAGATTTTGCTCTCTGACAGGATTCTGTCCTATGTAGCAAGTTAACGTACATGCTGCAACACAAACAAAGAAAATCATAATTATACAACAAAATGAATGCATGTGTGCTTAGAAAGTCGACTATTTTGAAGCTTTCTCTTGCCTTTTGGAAGATTATGGAATTAAAAGACAGAACTAAGGGACCCAAAAGTCAATATAATGTCTAAAGTCTCAGGTTGTTCTCAATTCTCTTCACATGTGGATGCATAGCCTTTTGTTATATTAATTCTAATAAATAACATTTGAAGTCTAACTGGGAATGAAAAGCTCCAAGTGCTCACTGGGAGAAGCAGTGATGGCTTAATTTCTAGCATAATTATGCAACAAAAAAAATGGCATTTTTAAGGTTTAACTGTTTTTATGCATATTCATATGTTTTCATATTCTCATAGGAATTAATTGTTCTCAGAAGTTCGAAATTTTGTTCCTTGAATTCTGTTACCAGGTACAAGTCCACACCTGTTGCTATAAAAGTTATACAGCCAGCCAACACATCAACTGTCACTCCTGAATGCCAAGAAAAATTTAACAGGGAGGTCTTGATGCTGTCTAAAGTTAACCACGACCACATTGTAAAGGTATTTCGTTTTTAGTGCAAGGTCGTTCATCAATTACATGGGTTTGTCTTTGCTAGTTTCATTACCTTATCTATTAATGATTTAATACAAATAGTTTTATATCATTAGACAGACTAATTTTTTTAACTTAGTAACTTATAAGATTAATGATTTAGTGATAAAATTTTTATCTTGGGCTCACGATGGATACTGGACGAATGTCCTATATCAGGAACTTTAACCAAGCCAGTATAAATTAACGTGTGGCCATATTATTGCTGTGTGGCTTTTCCTCTTCATTTCTCACATTACTTGGTAATTTGATAAAGAACAAGAAGATGAACTAGAAAAAGGGATTAAGAGAAGAATTGACGGCAAGAGGAATAGTTTTATTCATATAATTCAGCAGTGTCTATTACACTGAATAAATCCTCTATATATATAGCAAGAAATTGAAAATAAGCTAAAATTAAACAAAATTGTTCTAAACTAGAATTTTATGAAAATATTAAAATTAATCTTATCTAATCTAAATATTCATATTTGGAATTAAAAGTCTATTTTAAAATCCTAATTAACTTGTAACTCTATCTCCATCAGATGTAGCAGTTGGACTCATAGTGGTGTTCTTAGGATTAGAAAAGTACTTGTCCTATTATGATCAACATCCCTGAGGTTTGAATTGATGTGGCAAATGTGTAACTGTGAAGCCAAAGTAAAAAGTTTGGAGTTAAGAACAGGATATGTAACATTGGTGGCTTAACTGATATATATCTCTAGGGCTGGTTACATAGGATTGTATTCTTCAGTTGCTATAGATAGAGTTCTTTTCAAAGTCACACGACAAATTCAGTTCTATCCAATAAACAAAGGCGGAAAATTAGCTTTCCTTCCACAAAGGAAAATAAGTAGAAACAATGTCTCTCCAACATTTTTTTCATCTAATCTCACTCTCACCGAACACAAAATCTAGTTCTTTCACTACCGTATAAACCACCACTATCTCTACCGAAAGAACCCATTAAACTGTCATAGATACCGCCAAGGACTTAAACATCATATTGAATAAATCTAAAAGAAAATACACTCCTCCAACCTCAATTGGATAAAGGGAAGAGAGTTATTGTTAATTGTTCTTATACAAATTAAAACGGAAAGTGTTATAAATTACATGAAACCAAATTGATCAAGCACGAACATTAGGAACAAGGAGCGAAGTCAAAGGCATGATTGGCTAAAGAATCTCTTTCTTTTAATATTCTGCACTATTTCTCCAGTTGTTAAGGAGTGTTTGTTGCTTAAACAGTTTATTGGAGCCACTGCAGAACCAGCAATGATGATAATCACGGAATTAATGAGAGGTGGGACGCTCCAGAAGTTCATGTGGAGTACTCGTCCAAATTTCCTAGAACTAAACCTTTCCATAAAGTTTGCATTGGCAATATCTCAAGCAATGGAGTATCTACACCAAAATAGAATCATCCACCGCGATTTAAAGCCTAGTAATATTTCTGTGCCAATTCATTTGATTTTACTTCATGTTGTATATTTCCTGGTATTCAACTGTTTGTTTTTAGATGAAAACCAAGCATTCCTGCTCATCATAGCAATCTTAACATTGCATTGAGATTCACTTGACATCTATAGAAGAAGCCTTTGCTTCCTAGTTCCTACTGTTCATCGATATCATTCGTTTTTATAATGTGTCAAAAAATTTCACTCAACAACAATAACTATAAGACTTATTCTCAATAATTATCATCGACAACATGTTAAATGAAATTACAACTATTTATGTGTGCGTTTGTAATTCGATTCTTCTATTTGCTTATAGAATTTTCTGCCAACAATGTAGGCAATCTACTTCTCACAGAAGATAAAATGAAAATCAAGATAGCTGACTTTGGTTTAGCTAGGGAGGAGATCGAAGATGAAATGACAACGGAGGCTGGGACATATCGATGGATGGCTCCTGAGGTAGTACTTAAGTGCAAACTATTTTATATTTGTAAGATCATTACAAGTCTTGAATGTATTTTCCTAAATGATCAGTTGTTCAGCATAGAAGCTCTTCAATTGGGAGCAAAGAAGCATTATGATCACAAGGTTGATGTCTACAGCTTCTCTATGGTTCTGTGGGAGCTGCTTACCAACAGCACACCCTTCAAAGGCAGTAACAATATCATGGTGGCATATGCTGCAGCGATGGTATGTTCATTAGTATGTTAATTCTTACCCAGAAATGGTTAGTTTATTATAACTAACACATAACTACCAGATTGGCATGTTTGCCTAACTTAAAGTTACTTTTCTAATCATGTTTTGCAAATAAGCATATGTAACCTACTTTTTAACACAGCTAATATCTTGTATTTATCACTGTAAATGTACTTCAAACTGTTGCAGTCAGTTTTGCGTCAGTAATATTTAAGTTGTTTTAGGCATATGCAAATTATGATGTTATCTTTTTTATGTGCTTTTTGAACCTCGATAGTGTCTTGGCATGCATAGTTTAAATGTTTAGACCTTTTTGAGTTACTGCAGCACTTTATTCAATTTCTGAATTATATTTCTCATTGATGCTCGGTATCTCCCTTTAATTTTAGAACCGAAGGCCCAGCACTGAAAACATTCCTGCAGAAATTGTGCCTCTCATACAGTCTTGTTGGGCAGAAAATCCAGAAGATCGACCAGAGTTCCACCAAATCACCGTTTTTCTGAAAAACTACCTCCACCATCTCTCCCAATTGGACGGCACATCAGTAATATCACCAACTTTGTTGGAGGCAGAATCTTCAAGAAGCAAAGAAGAGACTGAAGATTCTCCACCCACAGACTTCTTGATGTCCAGGTCTGGAGAAACGAAGAAAAGGCCAAGGAGTGTGTGTTTCAGAATTCTGAGTTTTTTGGGTTGCTGTCTAGGTAACTAGTTTCAGTAAATAGTAGATGCAGTTGTGCTCATTTTGGTTATCAGTCAGAAATGTATACACATATTTAGTGATGAAGCCTATAGTTGTCAATTTTGTTGTGAGCCATGAACATGCATTGTACAGAAAGCTATGGAAGTAGTGATCTAAAGGAAGAATAGAATAATAGAAAAAGAATAAAGCTTTTGAGGTAATGGTGTATTGGTCTTCCCTTTGCCTTGTCATTTCTTCTGTTCATCCAGTTCCTTCAAACGTTTCTGTTTACTCTTTGTGGATATCTTGCCATGCTAAAGTTCTACATGTCACTGGTTGATAAAGGCTCTTTTTGTTTTTGGTGCAACCCAACCCAACCCAACCCAACCCAACCCCGCCTCGGCCAAGCATTCATATTATTTTTTTGTCATTACGAACTCTTACTCATAAATTTATTGTAATTAGATTGAGCTAAAGATATTTACTCGCAAGTCTTACCTGAGAATTTTCAAGAAAAACAAAAGAATAGAATTGCGAGGTTTTGAGTTATCAGTATTTACTAAGATTTATTATCTTATTATAGTGCCTCCGTTTGGTTCTCATTATTTCAAAAATTTATTCTTGTATCTCTTATTTTTAATCACATGATCTTCTATAAAATAATATTATACGTAAATTGATTTTTTTTTTTTCAATTACACATTCTTCAAAAAATTAATATTTCAAAAATTATAATTGCTACATAATGAGGGCGAAAGGGGGAAAATAAGAAGTTGACCCAGATTGGCATAAAAAAGAAATCATCGTACTAGTTTCATTGAATAAGATCCCATTTGACAATCAGAAAAAATGATTGGATGGACACACAAGTACAATTACAACTTTATTATGGCCTCGTTCGGGAGGGATTAAAAGCCAATTAAAATTGAAAATATGGCCGTTATTGGGTCCCACTCGTCTAATAAAAGTCAACAATAACGGCTATATTTTCAATTTTAATCCGATTTTAATCCCTCCCATACAAGGCTTTAAGGATTTTAATCTCTCCCATACAAGGCTTATATAAAAAAGATCCAAAAGTGAAAACTATGTGCAAGTACTATTATATGATGATGGATTAATAGTAGGAGAAAATTCGTCCGTTCGAAATTTTTTGTGCGAAAAAAATCACTTCCGTCAATATTCGTCAGATTTATCATTGAAAAGGTCAAAAAATGTAAATATTAAAAAGGAATAATTATAATTTCAATGGCCAATATTTTTATTTTTTTACAAATTAAATCCAAATTTTTTATATGTGTCAACTACAATTCTAAATCTTTAAAATTTTATTTTCCACCCCACCCCACTCTACTCCGTTTTCTTCCCAAAAAATTAAAGAAGTTCCGTTATCAGTCGTCCACCGTCTTTCTAGAGTTATTCAAGCTCTATTCTACGAAAGGCCTCTCTCAAAGCCAACCAAGCCCTCTCTCGTGCGTTTCAAATCAAACATAAAAAAGGGTCTGCACTGTTTTCTTTCTTTCATTCATTCTTTTTTTCCCCCTTCCTCTTCTGGTGTTTTTTTTTCTTTTTCTTTTTCAATGAAACATAGAAAAAATGATTCCTTTTAGTTCAATATTTTATTTGAAGTATTAAAGTAATATCAGAGAGATAAATATTATTATTATTTTATTTAGATTCGTATGTCTAGTGTACGTTCGCACGTTGTATTTATTTTCTTGTAATTTTATTGTTTTCGTATTTAGAATTTTGTTTCATTCTGTCATATAGATTTTTTGTAGTTATTGGTGGAAATTAAGTTATTGAGCTTTACCTTTAATTTTTTATTTAGGTACTGAAAATGCAATTATTCCTTTTAAATTTTGACATTTTTTACTATTTTTTCATGGAAAATTTGACAGATCTTGACTGTAGGGGGTTTTTCGAACAAAAAGTTTCAAACATAGGGGTATTTTGCGATTTTCAATAGGTGGGTTGTATATCACACATGAAAACGTTTCTACGGGGGGTTTTCTACTATTAATCATTTATATGATTAATCCTTGCTTGAGCTCCTTTTAATGAGAAAGTAGGTTTTGTAATAGTAATTTTTAAAAGAACGTGTTTTTAAAAAATAAGTTATAAAATTATTTTATGAGAAAATGTATAGTTGAAAATAAGTTTTGTAAAAAATAAGACTCAAACAAGAACTAAGTCATATACACGTCTTAAGAAAGAAAATAATATACGTAAAATAAAAGTAAAGAGAAGTAGATGAAATCAATTTATATTTTATTGAGACGATATGATAATGACTTCACAAACACCTGATATATTAATCGCTTATGATTATAATTTTGAAATAAATTTCTACTTTATTGACAAATGAAAAATGGAAGAGACAATGGACGATACGACAATGATTTTACACCCATAAACGCACTAATCGCCTATGATTATAATTTCTCTTCGAAGAATATTTTTAAAGAAAAAGAGAGGCAAATTATAAGTAATAAATAGTGATGGCCTTGTTCTTTAATAATTTTAATTACAGTGGGGGCAAGTGCAATTAAATAAAGTTATCCATAGAGGGAAATCACAGAGTCATCAAAAACACTTGGTTGCCTCGTCATGCCTATCCATTCACTTTCGGCTACCTGGATACCGCTTTCTCCCTCAACGTGTCACCTTCCAAAACCCTACCCCCTAACCCCCACCCCCATCCCCAAGCCACCACAATTTACCTTGTTAGAATTGCCGGAGATACAAAGCCCCAGGGGTAGATTCTGCAACTGGATTCTTTTCTTCATGCAATTTTTCTTTTATTTCTTTTTCCTCGGAAGTAGATGAATTAAGACAGAATTAATTCTGTCTTATTGTGGGATGCAGATTTTTCGGTTTGATTTGTTGTAGAATTGACCTAAGGTTTCTTCTGACCGTCAGATCTGTGGGAGGGGTTTTTGTGTTTTTTTGGCTTTATATTGGTAAGAAACCTCGTCCGTCCCGCTTGGACTCCTTACGTTCCAGCTCACTCTCTTTTCAGACCTGGTCAGTTTCTTTCTCTTTCTTAATTTTTCTCTCTCTACTGTTTTTACCTTTTTTACTATATAATAAATTGATAATCATATACGCATAGGAGCCACACAAACGGAACCCTCCTAGGAGACAATTGGATTGTTACCTTAATTCTGATTTTTAGGAATTGAAGTGGATCTTCCAATGTTATATGTTTGATTTAAATTAGGGTGGACGAGCTTTTTTTTTTAATGAATTCGTAAGTTCAATTTTTTTTCTTTTTCCTTGGTTGAGAGGAATTTTTTTTTTTTTTTGATAACTGTGGATGTCCGAGCCAGCTTACGCGCACCTCGACTAATTCCATGGGCCATAAAGCTTACTACCGGGTACTCAGCCATGAGGGACTCGAACTGAAGACAATTGGGGAGTAAATCCAAGACTTGACCAATTGAGAACAACCCTTCAGGGTTGGTTAAGAGGAAAATTGGGTTTAATTTTAGTTTTTCAGATGGAACATTCTGCCACCTAATTTACTTGAACTTGGTGGAGGAAGGGGTTGAAAATTATATTGGTGTGGGGATGACATTTTGGTAAGATTCTTTGTCTTGAGTGCTCATCAGTGACGTCTACGACTTCCAAATTGTATCACGTGTGTAAAAAGATTAAAATGATAATCATGATGTACGCATTGAATGTGACCAAAAAAAAACATGCATATTTCACTAACATGAAGATTAAGACTAAGGTAGACTGGAAAATTGTCATTTTTAGTGACTAATATTTTATAGTTCAGGATGAATGCAATTTCTCTATGTTGATCAGACTAAGTATTTAGGAGAACACTGCTTCTCTTTCAATCTATATTCTAAAATATTACACGGTTATGATGCACCGATACGGACGATACATCGTCGACATGTTGATTAAATTCTTTAAAATTCTTCATTTATATAGCATAAATTTAATTTTAGCCCTTGTTTGACTCTCTTTAAAAAAAACTCTATTACTCATTTTTATAATAGCCATCAAACAGAGGCTTATATTTGTTATGAATTTTTTTATGAAATGTTTTAAATATTTGTATATATTTGTTATTTACTAATAACTTTGAGTTTTAAATATATAATATTTCTAATAAAAAAGAAAAATGGTAATAGAGTGTCCGAGGAGTGTCGGCTTCCGACGTGTCGGACATGAATAAGCTACCCTAGTTGATACTTCCCTTTTTATCTACATTCATTTTGTATCTCCAGCTGAATCGTCACCTAAATTTTCTAATTTCTAGGATTGACATAGTATTGATATATACTATTTAGTTAGTCTGCACTATCCTCATCGACAAGCAGATTGTTTTAGTTTTCTTAAATGAAACGTGTCATTCAGTAATCACTTTTCCCTTCTTTTCCTGTTGGTCCCTTCCCCAATTCCCTCTCTAAAAAGGGAGTTTTTTTTTTTTTTTTTTTGGGTATTAATTTCACGTTGACTTTTAGTTGCTTGAGTTACAACTGTAGCATTGTGCGCTCAATTCACTTGTTGCACTTGCGTTGTCTGATTAAGAACTTGTTTTATCTGTACGTCAATGGGAATTTGTTGCTATTGTAAAGACACTTTTCCTCTTCGTTTCACTTTAATATATGAAGCAGCACTGTGAATTTAATAGGAGAAAGTGCACACTATGCAAATAGGAAGAGTGATGTAGATGTGGTAGACCACTCTTTGCACACGTGAGATCTATGCAATTGCCAATGGCACAATCTATATAGAAACCTGACAATAATTTGATTGTTCATTTCACAAAGTAAGAATATGTAGAATAGATAGAGAAGTAAGGATAAACATAGCCATCTGCATTTTTGTAGAATATATAAATGAAATCTTTTGCTGCTATCAGTTTATATAATAACGCTATGTAACTCCACTGGTGCTTAGCATTACCAAAATCTTTAACTGCACCACGTGTTCCATGCCTATCATTGACAATCGCTCATTATTGCTGCTAATTTAAAAACCAGCTGAACTTCAGGTAACATCGTGAACTGGGACGTCTCCTTTGTTCAGAGAGGATATAAGAAGCTGTCCTGCCTTGATAGCAAAGGCATGAAGAGTTTTGGAATGGAAATAGCAGTTCATTCAAATGGGTAGAAATCTAAGGAATTATTACGAGGTCTTTAAAAAGAAAAAAGAGGAGTAGTGGAAATAATGAATCTGAAAAGACCACGTGAGACTGAACTAAGATTGCCAATAGGTGCAAGAGTTCATTAATTTATGAAGCAGGTTTACAAACAGGCTGAAAAAGGATATTACAGGCTGAGGTGGGGAGAAATGGTTCCCTCTAGTGAATTGGTGTAGAATTGTGGATTTCTAATGAGTTTTGCAGTCATTTGCAGTAACTGTCAGTCATGGGATGGAGATCTTTTATAAGCTTTTTGTTTTTGATAACCGTGGATGTCCGGGCCTGCTTGCGCTCACCTTGACTAATCCCACGTCGCCCTGAAGTTTACAGCCGTGTACTCACCTCAGTGACCTGAGGGGATTCGAACTGGTGATCACTGGGGAGCAAACCCAAGGCCTGACCAAAATCTTTTATAAGCTTTATGTCCATTAGATACTCATTAATGCTGCAGAACTGATTTATTGTAATGCATTTTCAAGATATCTTGGATCTATTGAGCATTCACCGAGGCACTAATATAGATAATAGGAATTGACCTTTGTCATTCATTCGACAGTAGAATCTTGTACTTATTGAATTCTCTCGTTTGATGTCAATCAGGTGCCTATCTTTTAATTGACAATACAAGATCTTATACTGAACAATTAAAGTTAGGTTAGACAATTGAGCCTACAATCTGCTGCTCAAATGGGCACTGGGCATGAGGGCACCCCTGCAAAGTCTTCCACCCCTGCTACTTCTACTCAGGTTCACTCTTTTAATATTTTGTATATCTTTGCATCTCAAGGGCAATCACGGTTATATGGTCCTTTTTATAATATTTATGTCTCAGCCATAGCGCGAACTAAATGCAGCTCATCCATTTTTATTCCTCCTTTTTTTTTTAATTGAATTTCAGGAAGCACCAACTACACCTGCATATCCTGATTGGTCAAACTCTATGCAGGTTTCTGATGAAAGCTTTAGGTTTCATTTGTCTTCAATACTTGTGTTTATGTTATTATTTTTGTGTTGGCTTATTTGAAAACCCTTTCATTTTCCAGGCTTTCTATGGTGCTGGAGCTACTCCACCCTTCTTTGCGTCAACAGTTGCTTCTCCTACACCCCATCCCTACTTGTGGGGAGGCCAGGTGATTATTCTAGAATTTTGATTTCTAGACCTACCCTTATACTTTCAACAGTTGGACATTTTTGGACCTTCATAATAAATAGAACACCTTACCATAATATTGCTTGATTGTTTTTCAGCATCCTCTGATGCCACCTTATGGGACTCCAGTTCCATATCCAGCTATATATGCTCCTGGGGGAGTCTATGCTCATCCCAACATGGCCATGGTAATTGAGATGCACAAAGTTTTTGGTCTTTAGTTGTTGGTGTCATTTTGTAAACTAGAGTTGATTATGTCTGTTGTTTTTTTGTTATTCTGTCAACGATTTGAGCATGATACCTTATGGTCTTTGAATCAAGCACCATTTCGGTACATGTGGAAGCTTCAATTATATCTTCATGGTTTGTTGTGCTTTCTTTAGACTCCAGGCACTGTACATGGAACTGCAGAGTCAGATGGAAAAACAGCTGAGGGAAAGAACCGTGCTTCAAGCAAAAAATCCAAAGGGACTTCAGGAAACCATGGCTTGATTGGTGGAAAAATAGGAGATGGTGGGAAATCAGCTTCAGGCTCTGGAAATGATGTCGCAACACAAAGGTGCTTTTAGACAGATGTAATGCCAGATTTATTATCCTATTCAATCACAAACTTTACACTTTGGACACATTTGGCACACCGTATAGGATTAGGGGGGATTAAATCAAGGTGGATTAGGGTGGATTGTTCTTAGTACGGTGTTTGGTATCACATTGTATTAGAAAAACATCCAAGTATTAAAAAATTAAAAAAATATTACAATATTTTTTGTTTATAAATAATTTTTCTTAACATAAATTTACTTATGATTTTTTATTTTTTTGCTTGTAAGTGATTTTTTTACTTATAAGTAAGTTTTTTTAATTATAAGTAAATTTTTCACTCGTTAGTGTATTTCATTATAAGTGAATTTTTTGTTGCAAGTTTTTTTTTTTTTAATGCTTATGAGTATTTTTTTTTACTTACGAGTGATTTTTCTACTTATAAGTGAACTTCTACTCCTGAGTAATATTTTTTTAACCTTATAATTAAATTTTTCCTTAATTTATATTTTTTTTCTTTACATTATACTAATAATTGTTCTTTTGGTTTATAAGTGGTTTTTTTACTTATAAGTGAAATATTTAGTTCTTACTATTTTTTTCTCATATTCGTAAAAGTGTGAATAAGTTGTACGGTTTAAATTATAAAACCATATTGTATGGGTTATATATGGTTGACTATATGTATTAATTCTACCAAACACCGGATAAGGATTAGATAGGATTAAATTAATCCTTATCCGGTCTAATACAATGTGCCATTAATATATTATAAATATATATTGTTAGATTTAGTGCCAGATTTTCTATCTTATTCATTGTAGATTTACTCTACATTTATGTTTGTGTGTTTTTGTTGATTATCATAATATATGATTGTAAAGATCGCTCATGAGCAGCGCTGATAGCGGAAGTGAAGGTTCATCCGATGCAAGCGATGAGAATGATAACCAGGTTTATTTTTCTGCTCTAGCGATCATACAATCTTATTTCACTCCAGTGTTCAAGAGTCTGACAATCCCCTGAAACTTGATTTTTTCTTTTTTTTGGAAAGGTAATCAAGTATTTTATTAATCAGTGCATAGTAAACATGAAGTGTATTATCGATTTAAATCAGAGAGTAAAAAGATGAAATTAGGCAGCCCATCTATATGCCTAGTAGCCGCAACATTAAACCAAGTATACAATGTCAAATAAAAAAATTCTCTAAACTGCTCTGTTATCCGTATTTGGTCTTCAAAATAGCGATTGTTTATTTTTCTTCACACACATCATACGATGCAACCTGGAATAAGATCTCAAACAATTTTGCTATCCTTATCTCGACCTTGAAACTTGATTTTGGGACCTATGAGCAAATATGATGTGTCATAGTTCATATTAAAGCCAATCTAATATGATATTTTAGGAATTTTCTGCAACCAAGAAAGGAAGTTTTGACCAGATGCTTGCTGACGGTAAACATTTTTACCTGTCCATCTCTCCCTGGTTCTTCATATTGTTCACGGTCTGACCAGTCTATTGGTTAATCAGGAGCACATGCACAGAACTCTGGTCCAGCTAACTTCCAGAATTCAGAACCCGGGAATCCTGTAGTTTCTATGCCTGCAACTAATCTGAATATTGGCATGGATTTATGGAATGCATCATCTGCTGGTTCTGGGGCTATGAAATTACGCCCCAGTCAGACTGGTGTTTCACCAACCGTGGCTCCATCTCCGTCTGGCATGATGAATGAGCACTGGATTCAAGTAGGCTAACCCACTTTTTAATATTTCTGTATCATGAAGGATTATGTTTTGGTTAATTGTTTCTGTGTTGTGCCTGTTGAACTGTATATGATTTCGGTTCAATGGAGAAATTGGGTAACCTCATTTGATTCAACTTGGTGAATGCTGAAGCTGTAACCCACTGTTTCCCAACTGTAAAGTATTGTACGAGTTAATAAATTGTTCCTAGAAACAACTGCCTGGGTTTTTTCTCGGGGGTGGTTTGACATTTGGCTTGTCTCTTCGAAGTGGTGGTCTTGTTCTGCTGCTGGCTCTATGTCAGAATTTCTCCTCCTCCATGGATATCCATGTCATTTATGTTGAAGTTATTAGAAATAACAATTGTGGAGTCGTTCAAATTTCCACTTTTAGGCATTTCAAGGACCAGCTCTTGCAATACCATCTATTACACCCACCAAAAAATACTGAATAAAATGAGAAAAAAAAAAAAAAGATGCAAGGATTACCAATAAACAACAGTGTTGGCAAACTATGTATACTAGGACTCAAGTAGATATTTGAACTTCAATTTGACAGGACGAACGAGAACTAAAAAGACAAAAGAGAAAGCAATCCAATCGGGAGTCTGCTCGGAGATCAAGATTACGGAAGCAGGTTAGGCTCAGTTTTTAGTTTTCAATTTCACTGTGATGTTTCCTCAATAAAGTCTTTTCTTATTTCGTTTTAATCAATATGTGCATGTGTTCCCTCCATCCCCCAAGCATTGTAACATGTAATTATGAATGGAATTTAGAACAGCAAGGGTGGTTTGGAAAGCAGACTAGTATAAGTAGTTAATCGTTGGTTATCTCAATTAAGAGTCTTTTTCTATTGTTGTTCAACTTAGAAAGCGGATATAAAAATAAAGTTAAAGCAAAAAGTCCTGTTTGAGGGCATAATACTTGGTTGACCCAAGTTTATTGCCGGCTTTATTAGATTGCATTAACGCGTGCAAATATTTGGCTCGTCTCTTCAAATGTGATTTTCTTCTTTTATTTTTGAGTGCTTTATTAGATTGCATAATATTTGGCTGACCACAAGTCTATGAAATCAAGGTTTAGCTGCTTCTCGTTTTGTATTAGATGGCATAATATATAAAAAATTACTATCTAATTTCTATTATCGCGGGAAATTATGGCGGCCATAGGATCTGAATTCTGAACTGGATCAGACTAGCCCCTGTGGGTATCCTACACTCTTGTGGTCCGTTGTAGTAATGAAAGTGGAAGAAAATGTATATTATTAAGTACATAGAAGATTTTGAAACTGTAGTTAAGGAAAGAGAAGCTTTAGTTGGCTTGAGATATGTTCTTTGGCTTTCTCCTAAAGTGCCTGACGGCGATTCTAGTATCTGTCTTTATGCTTCAATATTTGCAACATTGTCTTCTCTCTCTTGAAGTAATCTTATTGTCATCATTTTTTGTAATTCCTTAGACATTCATATTGTTATCACTTTTTGCAGGCTGAGTGTGAAGAGTTACAACTGAGGGTAGAGACTTTGAGTGGTGAGAATCGCACACTAAGAGATGAGCTGCAGAGGCTCTCAGAGGAATGTGAGAAGCTCACATCTGAGAATGACTCCATAAAGGTACATTTTAAGAAGTTTCACCATTTTTATTAAAAAAAAAAAAGGCAGTCTTTTTTATATATGATTCTTGAAACTTAAGGAAAAATTGCATTTGAAAAATCTGCTGGTTGATCATTATCGAATAAATAAAAAATAATAAAAAAGTTCCAAAAAGATAAGAGTAATAAGTAAAATTTTGCTGCCGAAACAGGAAGAATTAACAAGGGTGTGTGGGCCCGAGGCGGTATCTAAACTTGAGAACAACAGCTCAGTTAACCATATTCAGTCTCGTGGCGACGAAGGTAACTGTTAGATCAGGATGTTAGAAAGTAGATTATGCTGTTTAAAGAGGGACAATTTTTTCTATTTCTGGAGAATTTCATGACTATAAGCTCAATTAAGTAAAGGATGTATTTTTGCTAAGTTCCTAAGATATTTGTGACTTGAAGAGAGTTTGCTGTTGTCTACTAATCTATACCATATAACCCCATTTACTGTAACATCAATCTGTGTTCTTCCAATGGCATTAGATATCAAAATTTTCACTTTGCTATTAATCGCTCGTCTTAGTGAGCTTGTTTTCTTCATTTCTCTTGAAATGCTTGTTCTGTCAAAACTCTGAAGTATGAATTCATTCAAGATACATAAACGTGAAAGACTAATCCTTTTCAATATAAATTACAGACAGAAACATAAAGCGGTCAGGATTAATATACCCATTCCTAACCTAGCTTAATTACCTCAAATAAACCCTTATGGGGAGTTTATTACCTATAATTATGGTAGTAATTATTTCCTAATACCTCCAAGCTGACGTGGCAACAAGTGGCCTATTGTGCCAGCAAAGCAGCATCTCTTCCTGCTGTTTTGCCACGTGGAATCCTATGATATTTGCTCTCCTCAGTAAACACTCAGCTTGAAAGTCAGCAAACTGACCAAGCCTCACCTGTCTCAAGCCGGCCGTCACTAGCGCTTCCCTCCATGGCGTATTGCGGCGGCTGGCCGCCTCCACTGCCTCCATAATCTTGGGAAGAAACAGGAAAGTCTCAATCCTTCTTATCAAATCACCCCTACCGCCACCACTGCTTTTAAAGTTTGCAGCCTCTAGTGACTTGAATAGGCTGGAGTAAAAATCTAGACCATCAATCAGAGTCTGGCGATATGACGGTGCTTCAAATCCCATCTGCCCTTCACCATCCACGTGCATGACCACGAGAGGTGAAACTCTGCGGAGATCATCGAGAAAACCTGTCCCAACATGCCGGAATATTGCCGGAGATAAAAGAACAGCAACATTTTCACTATCCATCAATTTGATGGCCTTGAAAGATAAATACTCAAAAGTACTTATCGAAACAAAGTCTATATCGAGCCTAATATTCAGCTCACATGCAAACTGAGTCAAATTCTCTTTGATCAGCTTTGATTCCATTGCATACTCTTCAGGAACTATAGCTGTAATTCGAAGCATTGCTGGGGTAGCTTTACCAGACTCAGCTTTATCAGCTAACTCTGTCAAGAACGAAGCCCAGTGGTTGCCAAGCCCGATATCAAAGTCGATGATGTGGACATGAATGGAGCCCTCTAGGGCTTCAAGCACGGCTTGGTTAGCCGTGAAGCTTGAGAACATGGGAACTGGGGAGATGCCTGAAAACATTTTCTGTGCTTTGATGGTCTGGATGATCTCTGAAGAGCTGGCAGGGTGAGTTTGTCGAGTCGACCCGGAGAGTAGGGATTGAAAGGCTTCCTTGAAGTAGAAGGCAGCTCTCTGGAGGGGCTTTCCTGTGGGAGATCTGAGCTGTTGATTGAGCCGTGCCAATGATACCTGCCCGAGTTGTAGGGAGTTGGTCTCGAAGCACTCGGCAAGTCGGATTAACTCGTCTACGTAAGCTAATCCAACATTCAAGTTATTGTTATTCAAGTTTTGGATTTCTCCAGATAGGTCAAATGGGTGGATGATGTTGCTGTTATGGCTCAAAGGTGCAGTAGAGTATGTAGTGGTAATATCTGAGAGTAGACTAAATTCAGATGGCTCAAACCTGGTTGATGAACCGAAGGAGCTTACAGGTGGGAACTCAGGGATTGATGAATACTGCTGATCACAGTGAGTACCAAGTTGAGAAATAGGTTTTGAAATAGGGATCGAATCGTCATCCAAACCCAGTTCTCTCATCAAAGAATCCCAAACCTCAAAGTGATGGTTCAGCGCATGATCTCCCAGTTGAAGAGGATCATCACGAATTGTTGAAATATTAGCTGTAGCACAAGTAGGTATGACCTTTTTAGCAACGGGACTATGGCTTCCACAGAGTTCAAGATCCGATTTTGGCTTGTAGGAGGAGGTAGTAGGTGCGGAGCTGCCCGGAGAAGTGGTGGTCCGGGTGGTTGTAACCACTGGTTTCGAGTTCAATGATTGGCTGTGATTATTTCCAGAGAAGGGTACTTTCATTTCTCGAACGCAAGAAAAAGAAGATGAACAAAACCCTAATCTCTCTCTCTCTCTCTCCCAATACAAGATTTTCTTGATCTTTCAATGGTTTTTTCTTCTGTTTTGTATGGTAGAAGTTAAAAATCCAAGGGGGGCTTTTGTGGGTGATGATTCTTGGCTTTTTATCTTTGCGTGCATGGGTCGTATTTGTGGGGGTGGGGTATGATATGGCACGTGTGAATGAAAATAAAGTGATGTAATGGAGATATACAAGTAGGGCACACAAGTCAGAAGATTAGAGAATTGATAGATATATCTCTTGGAAGCTTGTTGTTGAAGGCTTAGAATCAACACTTTGCCGTGTTACTTTCTTGGATTCTTGATCGATCAGCTTCCTTTGGTTGATGGCTGATTTGATTTTTCTTGCATCAAGTGGATTTTGAGTTGATTCACGTTATTACCCTTTTCTTATCTTAATTATTTCAATCTTTGTAGAACAATCATTCTCCTTTCTTCTACTAATTTCGAGGTTTATTTCCTTATGTTTTTGTTAGATAGCCTTGAAAGGATTTAATCTAATATTGTATATCAAACATGTCTATGCATGTGTAAAATTCAAGGAATCTAGTATGTGTAAAAATCGAAAAGAGAGATTACTTTTACGCCGTGGTTTTTAAAAGTCGAGTAACTTTTTAAGCGCGGTATTGAAGAAATACTAAACCCTGAGGGCTTTCTCATAAGTTCTACTTTTGAATAGGGAAAAATTGACGTTTCTTATAATTGGGGAGGTAAAGTCAAATACTTTTCATGCTTTAATGGAAAAGAAAAGAAATTCCAAACCTAACTTAACTTTGCTGGGGGACTTTCACAGACCATCTTATTCATCACAGCTTTTTAACTAATTTATGCCCTTTTTTGTCAAAGGTAACCTAAGAAAAGTGGACCGCTCATTTAGGTTTCTATCATTTAATATATGAATATTGACCCCACGTAATTAAAATCGTGAATAGTAAAATCACACCTTTAAAGTAATTCAAAGTCAGAGGTAAAGTCATCCAACTTCTCAACATTTCTCTCCAATTAATTCAAATTCGCATGCAATTGTGATGTATAAAATTTAGAATTTTGCTCCAAGTACATGAGCAAAATTCACATGGGCCTGCAAGCCGCTCACACTGGCGGGCAACACATTTTTAAAAAAATTAAAAAAATACACCCCACATGTACAGTGAGTGGCCTGGCAGTGAACCACTCACCTTGTCCTGCACATGTAGCATATCTGTAAAATTTATGACCGAGGACTGTGAATCACACCACTTGAATTTTAGTCTAATTTTCCTGACCGATAGAACTGGTTTCTATTGACATGAACCGAGTAGTCGTTTGATGAGTGTGTTTTAATTTTACTTTTTCTTTATGATTTAAATTTTCGATCAACTCGAATTTTGAAGAGTGGCAATATATAATATAAAAAGGAAAGAAAATTGCGTTGTGTCACAGACCTGATGAAAGCAATTGAAGAAGGTAAGAATATATTCTGGTGGAAGGAAGTGTAATTGGCCAACCCATTTGTTCATGTACGTGCCATAAAGAAAGACGCTCTATATTGGGGCCTTTTCCCCATGCTTTTGTTTTCAATTTCAACTTTTGAAGAAAAGCTTGTATACCTTTTAAAAGATAAAATATGTATTATCATCTTCAAAAAAATTCCGTAAATACAAAATGCTCTTTATTTTAAAGAGCTAATACTTAAAAATAAGTTTCAAAAAAGACTGTATTTTTTTTTTTTTAATTTAAAGAGTCAAACACACTCTATTTTTAACTACGATGATTGCATTTAATGATTTACCGATTTCAATACTCAACTTCTTAAATTATTCAAACCATATTTAAATTAACATAAAAAAAAAACTTATGTTAGATTAAAATATAATGAGAAATCAATAATATTTTTTAGAAAAGCAAAATAAAGAGTCAAAATAGAGAATATTGGAGTGTACAAAAGTTTGACTTGACTATCTAAATTTAAATATGCTCTCGATAGTTCATAAAATGCTCTTTACAAATAAAGCATTTTGAAGATATTCTTAATAGAAAGCATGAATGGTCGATCCAAGGCTTGCCATTTTTCATAGCTAAGCCGTCAGGGCGTGCCCATTGACCTACTTCATTGGCACTATTACCTAGTTTGAACCTATTTAAAATTTAATTTATAGTCATTCTTATTTTAATTAGAAGTTTATGTGTCTTTGAATTAAAGAAAAAGAATGTAAATTCAGCCTATACGTGAGAAAATTTGTATTGAAAACAAATTTTAGATAAATAAATTCATTTCATTTATTTCTAACCGTTCAATGTTTGTAAAAAAGCGGGAGGAAATGCTTTTTTCTTCTCATGCTTATAGTATGAAATAAGTCACTTCAAACTTATTTGATGAACTTAGAATGTCGAGGGAGCATCTAAATTCAATTAAGAAAAAATATTGCATAAGAATTTCTACAACTTTTAGTGGCAAATTTAGGGGGCATTGGGCTGCCCAGTCCCCTCTGATACGTGTATTTTTATACACTTATTCGGAGTCTAAAATAACGATATTTGATAGTTTTTTTGAAAAAAGATATCATAAATTGTTGTATTTTATGTTATATAGGTAAAACTCAATTGTTGAACAAAGAATGGAAAAAAAAAAAAAGAAACGAAAAATTGTGAAAAATGGCAAAATCCAAAGTTTGAGAATCAAAATATAATTATTCAATAGTTGATTCGGNTATAGTCATTCTTATTTTAATTAGAAGTTTATGTGTCTTTGAATTAAAGAAAAAGAATGTAAATTCAGCCTATACGTGAGAAAATTTGTATTGAAAACAAATTTTAGATAAATAAATTCATTTCATTTATTTCTAACCGTTCAATGTTTGGGGCATGAGAGTAAAAAAGCAAGATGAAGTACTTTTTCCTTCTCATGCTTGTAGTATATAAAAAAAAAACTCAAAAGTTAGGGGCACGTGACCCCCCAGGACCCCCCGGGTCCGTCCCTGTATACATAGATCCTCTTTGGTTTTGCAAAAAATAAGACTTTTAGTAAATTTTGATAAAAATTAAGGATATATGGTTGAAAAGTTGATAAAAGTTGTAAATCCAATAAAATGTATGGTTAAAATTAATCGATGATTTTGACTAAATTTCTTTTAGCTAAATCAAAATAAGACATACACAAGTATACGTGCATAATGAAATTATAAGTCAACATCAAGTGGCTTTATTTATATTTTTGATGAGCATTCAAAGTATGACCAATTTAGATGAGGTTGTGGGTGGTGCAAGGTATGGATGAGGATTCTTCAAGAGATTAGGTTCATTTTCATAGCTCAACTTGTCCTCATCTCTGCAGTCAAATCTTGCTTTTTGTAGCTTCTCTAATTTGGAACCACATCAATATTTCAGGAATTAAGCTACTCTACCAGGCCTGTAAAAGGCTTGGTAGAGTAGTTGTCTCACATGAGGTGGGTCCTCGGTGGGTCCCGAGGACCCACCTCATTAAACCCCCCCCAAGACACATTTGCTTTGCCAGATCTTTTACCGACCTGGCAAAGTAGCACGGTCCTTCAGCATTATTATTGTAGTTTTTTTGTTCTATTTATTTAGGGGTTTTTTTAAGATTTTCAAAATTATAGAATTTTGCTCTCTATTGACCCCACCTTGTTGTAGTGAAAGATAAAGTTTATCAACAAGAGGATACAAATTTATATACAACCTTTGCTATCGCTAACTCGAAATTGAACGTCGGCAACATTTCAAGATAAGCCAAAATATGCACTCTTGTCTTCTCTTCCCATTCAATTTCTATCTACATCTTTTATACATGACCATTTGGTGTCTTGGCATTGGATATCTGGAGGAATTCTTTATATAGGATGTTCTCGTTATTTTTCGTATACCCTCTAAGTCAACATTCAAACATCGATCCGAGGGAATACAACCAACATAATATATATCATTTACACTTATTATTATTCTCGTTGTCGTTCAAATTGAGTTTGACAATTGACATTAAATTTGGAAAAACATCTCACTTGGTAAGGTCTTTTCATGATGACGAGATAACAGTATTGGCATGGTTGTAAATTGTATTGGGAAAAGCAAAGCGACGTTTCATTGAGATAGTGTTTGGGCATCTTTATTTTGGAATATTACACAAAATAAAACTAACTTTTGAATTATAGGTGATATAAGATAAATATTCTTCTTTGCAGTTTTCTCTCATCCTAAAATAATATCATTATAAATTAATTATTTTGGTTCATTTACACTTCATGAAGTAAAATATTGTTTTTAGTTCTTTTTTTTTTTATGTTTAGTAAAATTTTAAACTATATAGGTTTAAAAAATTAATTTTGAACTTCAATTATAACAAGTTGGATTTGAAGAAGGCTTAAATGAAAAAATATTGAGTTTAGCCATTTGTGCAACAAAAGGAAAATGAATTGCTCACTCCATATTGCCCCGTCACAAATGGGAACTTCCTGAAATCGTCCCTAAACTTTTTATTTATTTTATTTTTTATGTTTTCAGTTTAAAATGTATTTAAAGAAATAATAATTAATTAAACGGGACCATAAATGAAGATTTTCTATCCCAACTTCCCGAAAATTCCCTCCCCGTCCCATCTCATTGCCATCTCTGACCTAAGTTTTAAACTGTTGACAATCAATTTCCAATCCAATTTAATAGTTCTTCTTTTTTTTGTTTTATTAGTTGAAGGAGTTGTGTTTGTGCTAAACAAAAAATTTACAAGCTCGTCTCGACTCCTTGAAGCCATAATTTATTTGCAATCTTTCTTATAACAATTATGAATAATCACGCATATTCTTAGTTAAGATTCAGCTCTTTCACCGTCGCAAGTGGATACAATGCTCTGCCGCATATTTGGTCATGTCGATTGATTCCGTGTTGTGGATTAGATGACTTGATAAGAAGGATGTAACAAGACATACCTCTGCCTAAAAGTTAAAAATAATTAAGGGGAATATTTATATTAATTATTAAAGTGAAGTACTTAGGAGTTAAGGTTTGCAAATACGTACACGGGACAAACGCGGGGAAAAAGAGAGAGCTTGTAGTATACAAAAGGGGAGAGATTTGATGGCGTTGAGATTCTGATTAGGGACAACTCCCAAAAAGCAAAAGCCAAAAACTTATAAATTATAAGTGAATAGGGCATGACAACTAATGGTATCATCAAGTATGTATAAAGGACAACAATGAATGGCTAATTTTATGAAGAAGAAGAAGAAGATCTTTAGGATATTTTATTTTGCTTTTCGACCACCATACCTATATTATAGGCCTCATTCTTCCTCTCTTTTTATTTTTATTTTTTTCATGTGATGTGTAATATCTTTCACTCTTAATAATAATTTTCACATACTAAAATAATTACGATCCATCCAGACTCTGTGTCAACCACAAAAGGACGTCGTTGCATGCCATGGTGTCTTCGAATGTTTGCATCTCGATCACGGAGGCACGGTTAAGCAAAAGATCCCTCAATCACAAAGGCTTATTCTAAGCAATTGAATGCACATAACCATAACACTTTGTTAGGAAGATGATGGAAGCCTCAATCAGCTACAGGACTAAAGGCCTCGATGTGACATCGGACATAGATGGAAACCTAGGTGCGAACTTTGACAAAATCATCTCGAAAGTTAGTGGACTAAATCCATGCGTGCGCATCATGGATTACTGGACAAGTGTCGCAAAGCACAATCTTCAACAAACTTTGGAAATGGGACCTAGTTATAGCTTCCAATATAATGTGAGGAATGTCAACTCACAAAAAATAACTAAAATGCCCCTAAAATCATTTGAAAATGGAAAAATGTTTGAAAAAAAATCTCTAATATCCAAGCTTCCACCCTTAAAAGCCACCTCAAATTGAAACACATTTGGAGTCAGACCTCTCGAAATTGAAACAGTATCTCTGATATAGAAACACTTTTCGGCCAGCAAAACACTGGAATCTCCATTTCTTTATCTATACAAGAATTGAACACCCAAATTCTCTGGAATGAGGGAAAACCTTGTTGAAATTTAGACAGATTATTCCAGAGTTGGCTTTAAAAAATAATTTTCGTTTTGTTAGTTCAACAATAATAACCATAATTGTTATAAAGAACCAAAAAATGCACACATAGGATATATAAGGCTTCACTGATTTCATCTTGTAGCTATCGTGATACGTGAGAGTCGTGTTTATAGAAAATATTGAGCTGAGTATTCAAGTCTTGATATTGATGCATATGATTTTCATCATTCAACTAATAGGTAGGCTTGTAATGGCCATATTGCATCGATTAAGGTTCATTAGACCTAGTTTTAGTTTTTTGTGCTAACTACGTCAAACATATTGTTACTTTTTTGTAACTAGTGTGTTACTTCATTTACAAAGATTGGATCGTGGACATCTCTCATAATAACAATTCGCTTCATATAAAGCCCAAAATAACCCAAATAACATCAAATTGGACCAATTAAATATAATATTTAGTTGTGAGTTTTGTAGATTTTTTTTCCAGCTGACAAATCTAAGGAAAAATTTATATCCAAGGATCAAGAATTAGCTTATATACAATAAATTTAATCGTATTCTTAATAATTTGAAATTGACTATACGAATTTTTTTCGTTATTTGAATATGTTCGTTAATAATTTTATCGAAACATCTAAAATAATTAGATCCATAATAAATAAAATAAACCGAGTTAATTTTGGTCTAACCTAGGGTCTAAAAAAATGTCTGAACACGAAATTAACCGGAGTGCTACCATTCTTCACTCACCCCACTTGTGTTGTTTATGTCAATATCTCTTTTGGAGAAACCCATTAGGCCTAATGTTCTGTACAGGCCCCATCATTAGTGCACTTTCTCTTGGCCCAACTCTAAATGTCGTCAATAGCACCAACATTCAAATACAAAGAAAACTGCCAAAAAATTACTCCTTGACTCTCAACAGCTTTCATTTCATGCATCGCCTCGTGTCACTTTCCATCTTGCACGTGTCCATGCAAATGCCACGTACGTCACTCACTCTTCAATCCTTCTCATTATAAACTATAACCCAAACCCCAATACTGTGTGTAAATTCACAGTGTGAAAGTATTTAGCCATGGCTGAGAAAAGCACTTTTCTATTTTCCCTTCTTTTTTCTCTGCTCTTCATTTGTATAGCAGTTTCTGTTAATGCACATGGAGCATATTTAGAGGAAAAGAATGACTGGGTTTCTGGCCCCCATTTGGTGAAAAAGGAAGAAAGAAAATCCATTGTTTCTACTGAAGATGGAGAGATTTCATCTGTTTGGATTCCCAGTAGGCCGTATCATCTTCAATTCATTACACTGGAACCAAATTCTCTGTTACTTCCTGTACTTTTGCATACAGATATGGTTTTCTATGTCCACACAGGTACTGTTTTCTATTTATGAAAATTGTGTACAGAATTGAACATCTCCTTTTAAGCTTTGAAGATGAGTGAAGAGTACTGTCTTCTTAATATTGTTGTCTGGAACTAACCGGTTTTGATCCCACTATTTGGAATTAGGGAGTGGGGATTTGAGCTGGACGGATAAAGATGAACTTAAGCACGCAGATTTAAGGCGTGGAGATGTCTACAGATTGCACCCAGGAACTGTTTTCTTCATCCAAAGCAGCTTGGAAACTGAACGCTCAAAGCTACGGATTCATGCCATTTTTATGGGTTCAGATGATTTTCCCGTATGAACCTAATTTTCGCAATTGATATATGCATTCCTATTTCTCACCAAAGAGATAATTACCATGCTTATGAATGTGCTCATGGTTTAATGTATGTAGGGACAAACAACTGAAGCTTATTCTAGCATTCGAGATTTGGTTCTTGGCTTTGATAAGAAAGTTCTACAAGCAGCGTTTCAGGTATGCGTATTTTCAATCATCGATTCAGCAATCCATTATGGGTTTCTCTAGAAATCCGATCGATATGTTGGACTAGTACCAAAGTGTGCAAAATGTTTCTTTATATTTGATCTCTTGCATTTGGAATGTGCGAGGTTTTTGGAATGTACCTTCTCTTATGTTGTCTATAACGTGTTGAATATATTGGTTGTGTTGAGGTTCCCGAGGAAGTGATATATGAGATGCTAAATGGGACAAAGCCACCAGCTATTGTACATGGTTTTTCAAGAACAAAGAGAACAGCATGGGAAATGGAGGCTCAATTCATAAGAGACCTTATCGGAAGCAGAGGTTACAATATATTTGAATCGAACAGGAAGAAACGGAAGACAACGAAATTATTCAACATTTTCAGTGAAGACAAAGATTTCAAGAATTGCAACGGGTGGAGCACAACAGTAACCAGGAAAAAACTGTCTGCATTAAAGGGTTCAGAAATTAGTGTATTCATGGTGAACTTGACGGCTGTAAGTTACTAAACACCATCGTAGTCTTTTTCTGGCGTTAGAAACGGTTAGATATTATGGCTATGATCATGGCTGACATCCATTATTGTTGATTTTGCTGATGTTTTTATGAAGGGATCGATGATGGGGCCTCACTGGAACCCAAGGGCTACAGAAATTGCAGTAGTCCTGCAAGGTCAGGGAATGATTCGGGTTGTTTGTTCTAGTATTTCAAGTGAAACCGAGTGCAAAAACGCTAGGTTGAAGGTTGAAGAAGGTGATGTATTTGCTGTTCCAAGATTCCATCCGATGGCTCAAATGGCTTTCAACAATGGTACATTTGTTTTCATGGGATTTAGTACGTCGGCAAAGAAGAACCATCCTCAATTTTTAGCAGGAAAGGCTTCGGTCCTCCGGACTCTAGACAAAGAGGCGTTGGCTGCATCATTTAACATTGACAATACTACTTTGGATCGGCTTTTGGCTCCACAACGTGAATCAGTTATCTTGGATTGTACATCATGTGCCGAGGAAGAATTGAGGTTGTTGATGGAAGAGATAGAAAAGGAAAAGGAAGCGGAGAGGAAAAGGGAACAGGAGGAAGCAAGGAAAGAGGCAGAAGAAAAGAGGAGGAAGCAGGAGGAAGCTAGAAAGAGAGAGGAGGAAAAAGCTAGGAAGGAGGAAGAAGAGAGGAGAAAACGAGAAGAGGAAGAGGAAGCTAGAAAGAGAGAGGAGGAAAAAGCTAGGAAGGAGGAAGAAGAGAGGAGAAAACGGGAAGAGGAAGAAGCAAAGAGGAGAGCGGAGGAAGAAGCGAGAAAACGACAGGAAGAGGAGGCTAAGAGGAGAGAACAAGAGCAAGAGGAAGCTAGGAAGAGAGAAGAGGAGGAAGCAAAGAGAAGAGCGGAGGAAGAAGCGAGAAAACGACAGGAAGAGGAGGCTAAGAGGAGAGAACAAGAGCAAGAGGAAGCTAGGAAGAGAGAAGAGGAGGCCGCTAGGAAAGAGGAAGAAGAAAGGAGGAAACGCGAAGAAGCAGCAGCAGCAGCAAAAAGAAGGGAAGAGGAAGAAGCGAGACAACAAGAAGAGGCGAAGAAGAGAGAGCAAGAGCAAGCGGCAAAAGAAGAGGAAGAAGCGAGAAGGAGAGAAGAAGAGCAACAAGAAGCCCAAAGGAGAGAGGAGGAAGCAGCCAGGTGGAGACAGCAACAAGAAGAAGAAGCCAAAAGGAGAGCGGAGGAGGAAGCTAGGAAGAGGCAGGAAGAGCAAGAAGGGCAAGCGGCAAAAGAAGAGGAAGAAGCGAGAAGGAGAGAAGAAGAGCAACAAGAAGCCCAAAGGAGAGAGAAGGAAGCAGCCAGATGGAGACAGCAACAAGAAGAAGCCAAAAGGAGAGCGGAGGAGGAAGCTAGGAAGAGACAGGAAGAGCAAGAAAGGCCGCAACCTGGGAGGGGCGAGGAAGAGCAGGCAGCGGAGCAAGAAAGAAAACGACAGGAGGCACAAAGGGAAGAGGAAGCAGCAAGGCAACGAGGAGGAGGCGGCCAACAAGTATATGCATAACAATGAGTAAAAGAGGAAGCTTAAAGAATAAGACTCTGGTTTTCTTGGGGGTGATCCCTAAGAGTTTTCAGAAGTGTTTGGGATAAATAAATGTTCTGTCCTTCATTTTTTTTTTCGCTTGATTTGAAATTTCCTGCAATAAGATTTTGTAATATATTACTATGCTTGTGAACTCGGTCTAAGCACCTCCCTTCAATCGAATAATTCTGCCAACTTCGTATCTTCATATTATTGCAATTACTAGACTTTGTTTAGTACCCCTGTATTCATTCCCAATGCCTAATTCATTCCTAGTAATATCTTAGGTTCAATCCAATCCTAGTGTTTTCTTATTTCTGTACTTCACCTTGTTTATGATCTACATCTCGATCTTGGATTCAAGAATACAAAGCAGATGATGAAAGAATGAGAACGAGGGTTCCACGTGAAGGGTACGGGAGTTTGATTTATCTTTCACTTCGTGCCATTTAGAGTATTTAACTGATGATGTTTTGGATGTAGTGGAGAAGGATAAAGAAATATTTCTTTCCCTTATTTTTGCTTCTAAACTGGCATTTATGCAGCTGTTGTTAAGTTTTTAACTGAACAACAATTCAACTTTGTTTAGCATTTTACAGTCGACGACATAGTATTGCAAAAGCCATGAATAAACTTGGCAACTTCTTTTACTTGTCGTGTCCAGTCCTAGCATGTCAAACATGTCGTATAGTGAACTTATACGGAAAAACTGACTGAAGCCTAAGCTCAAGCTGAAATGTTCCAAATCAAGGTGGAGCAATGACAGAGAGTAGATGGTAAGGAGCAGCATTTAAATGAAGATGACTTTAATGAATTTTCATGCACTGTGTAGGTTTTGAGGGTTGGCAAGATAATCAATCAAAATTACGATGAAGAAACTGACTGAGCCTAACCCTTCTACGTGAACTACTGTCTTCACTAATGCTTTGGTTTTCTCGTTTGCATGGTAGATCAAGGGCTAAGGAAAGATCATTAGGCGCAATAGATGAATCCTTGAAAGAGATGACTTTCATTTCTCAGCCAAAAGCATAAAGAAAACGATAAGGGTCTTCTTTATGGGAACTCATAAAATGTGTTGCCGTTGACAAAATTAAATGAAAGAATATCCAGATACAGACATGATCTAATTGTGCAAAATTATCACGCACTAGTTTAAACAGAGACGTAAGAGACAACAACTGTGAGATCATCAAGTTTACCACCAAAATAAGAATATCCAGCTTCTTGTGCTGCAGTAGAGAATGGAGTTTGCTGTTTCCTGTCTAAAGCTCGATGGCGTGCAAAAACTGCAATCTTTTGTGCTGTAGCATCCGGGCTAAGGCCATCTTTGGCTGCATCTGCCACAACAACTGCTATCTCCATATTATACAAGATATCAAACAAGCCATCGGATCCTGTAACCACCACATCTCCGGGTGCAACAGTGACTGTGAACACCTGATGAAAATCTTCACGGGTTAGCTTTTCAGAGCGGAAAGAACAAGCATCAACAATTTTAAATCATTCTGCAATTATACAGCTTCTGCAGAAGATTTGATTTCATGACATTCCATCATGTTCAGTGCTATGTGGAACAGAGTGAAAAAGAAGGAATCATGTAGCCGAGCCCAAGTATAATCGAAATAAGGCTTAACTTTTATTTTTTGTTGTATTCTAATATTTTACTGTTTCTTTCAGTTAGTGCATATGTATGACATTGACCTAAGCAAAAAGATAAATCATGTTGCATAACCAGACTAAGTCATAAACCACTGAAATTACAACCCCCTCTCAATTTTAGGCTATGGTATGAACAAGCTATACTTCCAAATTCAAGTCCAAAACGTAGTACATGAATAGTTATTAAGTATTAAAGTTGTGCTTCAACAGACCTGTCCAGAGCTAGGTAGATCACCCCTAGC